ACCCCATACTATACGCCCTGCATCCCCTGGCACCCCGTACTATGCACCCTGCACCCCCCACAACCCCCACCTCCGCCCGAGCAAGCCTGCACACCCACCCACATCCCCAGCTCCTCCAGGTGCCACTGCAAACACCCCCACAGGCTGGATTTTTAAAGCAATTCATTCTGTATTTAGGAAGTCATTCCTTAGGAGATTACAAGCATGTAGGAAGTACAGGGAAAATAAAAGCAGAAGCTGTAGCTGCAGGTGCAAGGACTGCCTAAAAACAGGGAAGCACACATCGTTCCGAGCACGACACACTTCAGGGAGAAAGGATGCGATGCTCCAAAACACCACCGAGGGAGAACACAGTACGCCCCGAAAGAGAGGCGCACATTCAGCCTCGTGCAGAGGCTGCCTGGAGGCTGCCAAGGACCAGGCAAGAAACTTCTAAAAGACATTTACAGACTTCTGCCCTGGATTTGCAAGCTGGCTCGCCAGCATCTCCTTTCTCAAGAGTCACGTACAAAACTCACTCTGGTATTTTATCGTTTCCCTACCCATTTCTATGTACTAGAAGGCCAAACATGAGCAAATGGGGCCTTCTCCAGGATGCAAATGGGTTCAAGAAGTACCTGGAGATGGCTTAAAAACGTGCCACCTCTTTACCATTTCTAATCCCCTCAAAACCTTTAGGATCACATTGCATTTGTATCTGTGTCCCCACTTTCCCCCAAGCCACTGGGGCACAGTGAAGCACCATCTCATCTACCACCCTCTACACCTTTTAAGACAAAAGCCATTTTTAGCGTATTTTTATAAATCAAAGGGAATTTTTGCTAAAGGATTTGATTTTTAAGACACTCAGAACTTACATATTTTAAAAAAACCAAACCCACCACCCAGGACTGAATGAGCTGTAAGTTTGCTTGGCCAAAGTTCTCTGCTGACATGGTGGAAAAATCTTGGAAGTCAGAGGCAAGATTTCTTACCCCGGAGACCATGCCTCACAGAACCCGTAAAGTACATTCCTGTCACCGTGAGTTATGCTCCCGCCCACATGCTAAGGGATACCTGTGTAATATAAAAGAAAATCTATCGCTGCTCATGTTGCTGTGCCACGGCAGCAGGGCCGACAGCCAGGCACAGGGGCAGAAGCCACAGTGGCCCTCAGCCCCGCAGCTCCATGGGATCTCGCCGTGACACCAAGTGAATCACTTGGACCCTGGCTCAGCATCCCTCCGGAAGGGGATCTGATGCTCTGTAATGATCTCAGAAGCACCACTAAGGAGCCACGGGGAAACCCCAACCCATAAAGCAGTATCTAGAAGTGCTAAATATTCAGATGCCCAACTCCTGCCCCTCACGACGCTGTGGTATCCACCCCTATGCTTCAGTAAAACTAAATGAATGAACACCAGCAAATTAAGCGATCCACCAGTTTAAAAGACAAAACATTTTTGAAAAGTCTTCAAGTGGTCTGAGCAGAGCACATTACATGGGAAGTGTCTCCAAAGAAATACTTCTCATTAGAGCAGTACTTAGTACTTCCACAGTGCTTCCCAGCCTCCCAGCACTGTACAAACATTAGCTTCTTAATCACTCGTTAGGGACGATCCTGCAGAGCTGGGCCATGCCTCATTGAGTAAAGTCATCCCCAACTCGCTCAGTCCCTCTTGCTCCCTCCAGAGACAACTTTGAAGGTTCTCTCCGATTCCCACATGAAGTTCAGAGCAAGGAAGGAAAAGTTCTGTTCAAAATGAACAGTAGTGGCATTCCCTTGCCTCCAAACTCTCCCATTTTTTGCAGCAAGGAGAGGAAGAAGTGAGCATCACCCCAGCCAGAGACCTGCTTCCATTAAAACCCTGAACTAATAAAGTTGGGAACTCCAGGAAGGTGGGAGACAGCAGCCGTTAACAGTGCTGTGAGCTTGCACCTAAGGACGTAACCTCTTCTGTTGCAAAACAGGGCTAAGAAGGGATGGAAAAAAGCCACAGGAATGAGAAGCATGTTCCTACGACCGGCCAATTTGTTCTTCTGGCCGCGGTAAGGTGGATTACCCTCGTGCATCAGCCTCCTGTGCGGCCCAAAGGGAGCAGCTCTCAGTCACTTATCCGCGACAGCAGCACCCCGAGGGTCCATCATGGCCCCAGTCTGTACTTGCACTCAGGAGCAGGGTGCCTGCTCCGGGGACCCTGCCGGCTAAACGGAGAAGAGGGTGTGGAAGCAAGAAAGGGGCACAGTAAAAGTGAAGGTTTGCACACTCAGGGAAGCCAAGGCAAACTTTCATCGTGATGAAAATCAGTTCATGTGATCTTAAAACTTCCTACTTTTCCCACAAGGATGTTCTAGTTCAGAAATCAAGACTGTCTGACACAGCTTAATCCACTTCTCTGAAGTAACCATTTAAACTTTCAGGTGACCGACTTCATATTAATTTTAAAAAATCATTGTACCTTTACCTTCTATAGTGAAAAAAGAAAACAAGCAAGCAAAAAAAAAAATAAAATTCCCCAAGTAAACAAAAAAAATCTGATAATCAGTCATCACAGAAATTCAAAACCCCAGAGGAAATCACAACCCCAATCCATATCCACCCCGCTGGCAGACATCTAGAAAAATTCATTCTGACGATGCCCCTGAAAACCATGGCAGGGCAAAGAAAAGGTCTCAAAATCCTGTGATCAGCCTTTTTTCCCTTTAATATTCCTGCGTCAGACTACCAACAGCCTGCACCCAAGGAGCCAGCATTGCTCAGCTTCCATCCAGAACGCACACACGCACAGAGTCCAGTCCGTGATTTGCTGTTCTTCAGCGCTCTTACCAGTTTCCAAGAACTAACACCTCATTTTAATGTAACTGCTCTCGATGCCAGCTTTTTTCCCTCCTTTTTGTAGTATGTAATTTTTCTATGTTATCAATCTCCTCGCCATTCATCCATTTGGGCATCCTTCCATCGAGCCTGGCATTTCATCTGTGTCTGAAAACTTCCAGTGGTGCCAAGTGTTTGCATACCTTGCAAGTGTTATGTCAAACTCTGCCCCTTAGAGCTGCCAAAAACCACCACTCAAAGTTAGCAAAGCAAATACCTCCTTAGACAAGCTTAATAAACACGCCAGGAGAAACCCTAGACTTCATAAAGACATTGCTCGCCTGACAAGGCCAAGCTTGAGGTCTTCAGCACCCTTTCATGTCCCATTTAGGCCAACATCCATTATCCTTGTCACACGTTCTCCATTCGCACTCTGCGTAAGTGCATCGTATCTGAGCACACAGATTATTTAAAACAACCAGTCCCAAACTCCACACCTCTTTTCATGCTGCAATTACAAGCTAACTATCACACCAACCCCGTCTCTAATCAGTCTAAACAAAGGCATTTCTTTTACGGCATAAATCAACACATGCAGCAGACACACCTCGCATTCTGCGCTGCGCAAAGCGGCTAACTTGGGTACCCATCAGCTCTTACGGCCTCATCCCAAATAAATCTTCATTTCTTTGTATTCTTGCCTGATGACTACCGATTCCTAACAAGAGTGGGAGTAGACATGAAAGAGCAGAGAGAGGTGGAGAACTGGAGGGTCTGAAGCAGAGAAAATGAAAGAGGAAGGATAAGGCAGGGGTGGGGGGGGGGGGA